TAGGGTTGGATGGTAATTGTCTAAAGCAAGTTACAGAATTTAAATATCTCTCAGAGGAGGGAGAATAGATAGGGAAATGTAAACAAGATGCCAACGAGCCAGTGCACTTATATACTAACTGACACCGTTATTAAGACATTGAAACATAAGTTTGAGCACCAAGAAACTGATTATAAACACAGCATGTGCTACCAGTGACAGACTCGGACTTTATCAAAGGCGAACCGACCTAAAATTAACACCTGTGAAATGAGATGCCTGAGAAAAGCAACCAACTTAACCATCTGAGGCAAAGTTAGAAATGGTCACACCAGACTGTTGGAACAGCATTATGCAGAAAATTCATTAACAAACAGAAGATCAAATTGTTTTGTCATCTTGTGAGAATGCAATCGAAAATAGCTACCAGAGCAGATGCTGTGCATGAAAAATTCTGATGTGAAAACAAGAGGTCACCCTAGTAGAATATGGATTGATGACATTAAGGAGCTTCAACATGGGCATGGAAAGACAGTAGCCTTTGCTGACCATCTATTGGTCATCTTTCAAGGGATCACAGATTGTTCCTTCCCCTGATGTTTAATGACAGAATTGAAAATTTATGATGATGACTATATAGAACAATTTATGACTATGCTAAGTAAGAACAGATCATCTTGTGACCCAGAAAGGCATACAAAACAAAATAAGAATGGAAAAAGGACATAAAAGACAGTACAAAACAGCAGAAATCATATGTTTCCCATAAATGGAAACAAGTATAACTCTTCATGCTTTTTTATCCACATTTCTTATAACTGGTTAATCTGGTTTTCCAGGAATGTCTTATGCTTGATTCCTATTATTGCATCATGTTTTATCTCTCCAGGCAAATGTTTGTTATCTGTCACTTGCTACCTGCAAGTATGATAAGTTTGTACAACTTATCCTATACTTGCTACCTGCATGTGTGATAAGTTTGTACAACTTATCCTATACTTGCTACCTGCACGTGTGATAAGTTTGTACAACTTATCCTATACTTGCTACCTGCATGTGTGATAAGTTTGTACAACTTATCCTATACTTGCTACCTGTATGTGTAATAATTTTGTACAACTCATCCTGTACTTGCTACCTGCATGTGTGATAAGTTTGTACAACTCATCCTATACTTTGAACTGTGTGTTTTATAAAGTGATGAGCCGCTGGCCAAAAGTTTACGAATGCTGGGCTATCAACGATGAGACCTGGGTTTAAAGCCTCATTAAGGTTATGGATTTTTTTTTTTTGGGGCACAAATAACATCCTAACCTGCACAGTCTGTGGCGACTGCACTAGCCACGTGGCCCTAATCCTCAAACTCAAAGATCCCATGCCTACCCTGAAAAATATGTAACTACAGACAGTAATTGGCCTGTTTTATACATTTAGATCATGTTTCCTAGGTAACTCTCATAGGTAACTCTCACATTTTTTTCCATTGCATTGGCAAATCAGGCACCCCATACTAGACCCATATTTTTTTTTATGTAGACATTTAGGCGTTTGTTGGATGATGGGGTCAACATCTCACCAGCAATCTTTACTTCCCAGCACATTACCTGGTACCCACTTTAGCCTGGGTCAGCTGATATTTTTGAAATGTTTTAGCTTTCTAATTGTGGATTTATTATTAGCATTTCAATCGTTTATTTTTATTTTCATTGCTGCGTGTGCATTAATTTTACCCCTCCCGCAGTCATTTACAATAATTAGGCTAGTTAGTCATCAGGTTTTTATCTGTGTACAGATTATTTACAAATTGATAATTTTTTTTTTAGTTTTGTTGTATAAGTATTTATAATTTACAAAGAAAAAAGGCATTTATACTTTCATCGTATTTATACAGAAGTAAGTACTTATAGTTTCACTGTAGTTACAAAGAAAAAGCGATTTAATTCTGCTGGTTAAAAAATGTGTAGTTTGTCATTGTTATTCTTGGAGTACTATTAATGGGAAAATAGTTGCACTTAATTAAATCATTATTGCTTGATAAGTCAGTCTTTTCACTCTGGTAATCTTAGTTTACTTGATATGACAAGTGAGAAGTAAAATAAATTGCCATGTTAACTATAGAAGCCTTTTATATTCTTCTGTGCCTTTACGTTTTGAGGTTAAAGTTGATTGTTAGTAATATTAATTTTCGGCGATGAAGTAATAGTCTTAAATATCATCATCATTAAGTCTCTTGCAGTCTGGTGTGGGTGATAATGCCTCTCCACAACCTGTGATCTATATCACATCGTGGACTGCCTCTGAATCTCTTTCCACAAATCTGTCCAGTCACCACAGCAAGCTTCAGTTCCTTTTGTCTCATGACCTAGCTAAAATACTATGGCTATCTCTTTCCACAAATCTGTCCAGTCACCACAGCAAGCTTCAGTTCCTTTTGTCTCATGACCTAGCTAAAATACTATGGCTATCTCTTTCCACAAATCTGTCCAGTCACCACAGCAAGCTTCAGTTACTTTTGTCTCATGACCTAGCTAAAATACTATGGCTATCTCTTTCCACAAATCTATTCAGTCACCACAGCAAGCTTCAGTTTCTTTTGTCTCATGACCTAGCTAAAATACTATGGCTATCTCTTTCCACAAATCTGTCCAGTCACCACAGCAAGCTTCAGTTACTTTTGTCTCATGACCTAGCTAAAATACTATGGCTATCTCTTTCCACAAATCTATTCAGTCACCACAGCAAGCTTCAATTTCTTTTGTCTCATGACCTAGCTAAAATACTATGCCTATCTCTTTCAGATATTTGTGCCGAGTTGTTTTTGGGTCCTCACCTTTTTTCAAAATATCCGTACTACTCATTTTGGTTTTCCAAGGAATTTGATGCATTCTTCTGTAAAACCACATCTCTGAGGCCTTAACTAATTGGCTGATTTGTTTATTAACTCTTTGAGTCCCAAGGAACGCATCATATATTTTTAGGTTCCTACCTAGAAGCCCAATGAACGCATGATGCACCAATTTTATGACTCTCTTTGCTACCACCTGGGCCTGTGATGCTAAACCCCCTGGGACTCAAAGAGTTAATTGTCTGGGATTTGCAGCCCTGTGTTATAAAACTGACTGCATATAGACATTACACATCCTTGTCACTCATCCCCTTTATGCTCTAAAGTGTTCATAATTGATTATTATTTTATATAGCTGCTGTTTGCTGCTAATACATGTTCATTGTTATTCACAAATCTTTACCATCAGTATTGAATGTTTTAAATAGTCTGATTACTTCCTCATGTTTCAGACAGTTAAATGCCTATTCCTAAATGTATTCACTAAATTGAATGCACGCAAGTTCTCAGTACTCGTTTGATAAAGGTCTAGTTTGCATTGAGTATTTCAGGCTTTGTGAAGCTCAAGGAAATATATCCAAATATGATTCAAGAGCATGACTGTATGTCACATACACTGTGTGCTTGCAAACCATGTAAAATCACTGAAACCTTTTGAAATTTAGTTTATTTAAATGCTAGATATAAAATCATTAAGCCTAATTTATATTAGGATATTTAGTTTTCGTTTAATATCTGTGTTAAAGAAATGCTTATGACTCAGCACATATAGAATTAAAAGAAAGATTTTAAATCAGTTATGAAAAGACAGATATAAGGAAGACGCCAGTAACATGTCACGCATATGTCTAACTGGAGACCAAAGAAAAAAAATTAGACTAATAGATCAAATTTGCCTACTTTGTTAACAGTTTTGGGGAACATGCATGTAAGTTATCATATTCATTGTTAAGGGGACAACATTGTACAATGTGAATAAATTATGGAACTCTGAATTATAGTCTTAAAATTAAGTCATGTATTTTCATTTTTAAAGTTATTTCAGTTTTAACATATGTTAATGAAAGTTGGAGAACAACTAAAGATTTAAAAGAGAAGGTAAATGCATTCTTCTTCTTGTTTGTCACATTCACCGGCTGGAAACTCCAGTGGAAAGTTCTGGTTTTTCGTGCATTCCTAGGCTTTAGTCTAGTTTTAGTACTGGAGTTGTATGTGCACATCCATTTTACAGATCTGACTTATTTGTGTGCAGACTGTTGGTTCCTCACCTCTCAGACACAAGCACTCCAAGTTTGAAGGAAACACCTCTAGGTTTGACTTTTATGACATGCTTATAAGGTAGTGGTGGGTCTACTTTTCCCTGCAGAAATTGACACATTCTGAGGAGAGGCCAACAGAGAATCACCAAACAGGAACTACAATAGAAACAAATAGATTTAGGAGAAGAGAACGCCAAGAGAAACCTCAGATCAGAATGTTGATGAGATAGACCAATGGTGAAGGATTTGATTGCAGAGATTGCACAAGATAGAATGGAATAGAGGAATATACTATGGGGCCCATGTGACATAAACAGCAGGACAAATGATGATTACAATAATAATGATGGTAGAAATGTGTCCATCAATTCAAAACACCTGAAGTTGACATTTTTTAAATAAGTCAACTCTCTCAGCCCTAAACAACGACTATGAGTTTCTAAATCATTGAAGGATAAACTAATTGTCTTGCTCCCTTCTGTCATAGGCAAGCATTATATAAACCCTTTGTTTCCGACTGATTAGTTGACCCAGATATTTATTACTTTAAGTTCAGCTGCCTGTGTTACAATTAACTTCATAACTTCAGTGGACCAAAAGAGTTAAAATATGCATTTTAAAACGTGACCAAGAAAAGTATAATATGTGTTAAAAGTGTATATTGTTGAAACTAAATATTCATCATTGTGTAATATTTTTTATTTCATTCAAGAAGGAATGTAGTTTCTTTCCTTGCTGCTTGGGCACAATTTTATATTTATTTGGTGTTTTCTCAAATGTGTAATTTAGTTGTACATTTTTTTTTGGGGAGGGGGGGGAGGCATTCATCTTATAGTCTGAAATGATCAAATAAAAAAAATAGCACTCATCTTGTGTTGTAAAGCTTAAAAATAAACTCTACACAAATTTTTTTGCAGATGCTTAACCAGCCTGGAGTTCTATCAGGCATGGTGTGCAGATCCACACTAGTGCCCCAGAGTGACCCAGACAAGCCCCTTGTCTCAACTCAACCAGTGAGGTAGGTCAATTGTTGGCTTAGATAGAGTAGATACATCTACCGTGTTTCCCCCCCCCCCCCCCCCTTTTCCCCCCCAGTCATAAGACCTAACCTGTAAATAAACCCAAGCCTGATTTTTCAGGAAGCTTGTTATTTAAGCCCTATCCCAAATGTAAACCTTGGTTAAGATCGTCAACCAGATAGACGGATTTTGTTCATCAGTTGAAATACATCATAATATGTACGGAATTGTAATATAATGAATGTATAATAATTATGTACTTGGATTTGTTGTTTTGTACTTGAATAAATTTAGATATGTCTACTTGACCCCCCCCAAAAATCATCTCTTAAAAAAACACACACACCAAGGCATATTTTAAGGCAAATATTAATATAAGACCCCATCCTCCCTTTTGTCCCCCCACAGACAGACAAACATTTCTGCAGATATACACATGATACAACGATAAAACCAGCCATACGCTGAGGGTTTAAAACAGGCACTGTCTGAAATGTGTGGATAGGTGTGCACAAATCATTGCACTGGATCCCAGTGGGTATTCCAGGGCCCTATGGAGGGGGGAAGGGATAGACTTACTACCCCCCACCCCTTTCTTCCTCTGGCCCCCGCTAACAGGCATTATTAATTGGCACAAAAGAGCTCATGTCTGACAGAAAAAACAAAGTTCTAACTTTGTCTTTCAGCTTGGGAACACATCTGACAAAAATTGTGAGCAACATCAGCTTAAGTCAGCTGTATGGAGAAGAGGGGTTTCCTGTTGAAGGTAAGAATATCAGCAAGTTTTATTGTTATTGTTGTGTGTTTGTGTCTTTTTTGTTTGATTTCTTCTGTGTCTTGAGGGACCTCGTTTTCTTCCAGTGTGGATTCTGGTAACCCATTTGGAGAGGAGAAAACAGACCTACTGTCCTCTAGAAAGGGTCTCTTGGAAGGTAGCTAATTTGGATTTAGTTGAAATTGGAATATAGGGCCAGAAAGTACAGATCAAAACACAGATGTTGCAGAAAAGCTGTACACCATGATGCAGCATGCCAACCGTCCTGTTAAGTGCAATCTTAAAAGAAAAAGATTCATTTTTCTGTACTTTCATTGTATTCTTTGTGTTCTCCTTGGAATCCCATATTTCCAGTATCATCAGATATGTCTTGGCTTGCTAACTGATTGTCCATGTTTCATTCAGCAACATAGGTTCTAACAAGCACTTAAACCCTTCCACCCCGGTCACCAAGCAACAACAACAAAACACACACAAAGCCTTGCTTTCCATTTAGTGGATATTATTTTTCAAAACATGAACAAATACTATGTAGAGAAAGGGGAATAATCAATTGAAACTAATTCACCATAAAGACGACTGGCTCACATCACTTGGGGCCTGTAAAGTAATTATAATGTGACCCTTACTTGACCCTTTGACCCGGTCACCCAATAACCACTGTAGCCAATGGGTAAAAAAATGATGTAGGAATTTCTATAAGTAAAGCCATTTTTTTAAAGGAAGAATGCTCAGCTTCTGTTTTTAATCATTAGTAATTTTGGTCATCCCCGTCATGCTGAACACGCAGTGAAATCTGTTAGTTAAATATCTTGTAGAAAAGTGGCTTTTACCTAAAAATGGTGCAAACTGGAAAGTGTCGGTTTTGTGGCTTCTTGTGGAAGGGTTAACAATTTTGTTTTCATTGCAGATGACACCTTTTACTGATGAATATAATCCCATCTTGCAACTGCAATTTTTGTTGTGGTGATTCTTATGCTAATCTACCAGATACTCCTGTCAAGTATTATGACTTTTTTAAGATAGTTGTACCAGTTTATCTGAGAAAGAATTAGCCAGGTTCCAGATGTGTTTAAGGAGTCTGAAACCTAACTATAACTTATCACAGAAATCAAAGAAAGACTGATCATTTTAGGTCAGATTATAAAGAGAGAACCCAGGTCGACCCAGCCTTGAGTGGGTACCGGGTGCAGTCGCGGGAAGTAGAGGCGACCGGCGTGATGCTGACCACATCACCCATCTTGTGCCGATTGGTCTATAAAAATATAGGTCTAGCCTTATATGCACTATACGCCTAATGGCGTGGAAAGGGTCCTTTACTTTTACTTATAAAGAGAGAAAAACAAGACCTTTTTGTGACAGCTGACAAGATTTATGGAAAGAGAGCTAAAAGGAAGACAGAACATCTTAGACTCTTCTTGTCATGGCATGGAAGGGTATCACAAACTGATACATGCTGTTGGAGGTCGCTGATATGGAGCAGCGTGACCCAGTTGGGTTAATTGGCAAGGCATCTGATTATGATGATAAAGTTTCATTTATTGTTGTATTTCAGATACGGAGAGAGACATTCACTTCTATTATGAGTCTGGAAGGTATGTGTAACATGCAGTCTGAAAATGTAAGTTTGAAAATTAGATGAGATAATTTATAAAAACATGATACTTTTAGACAATACAGGTGTTGCAAGTCTCAGGTGATAATTTACCCTTTTGCTCCTAGAAGCCGCAAAATGACTTTTCCAGTTGGGTCCATTTCCCCATAGATGTCACTTTTCCGACTTGTCTATAGTGACCTGTTTATGAGACGTATAATTGGTGCTATTCGCTGTTTTTGCACATGCCCAAATTTAGGGGTGAAGATATGAATACGTTAGCTAAAAATATAATTTGGGGTTTTCCTTAAAAAAAAATGGTTATTAATGCCAAGTTGACATCAAATTTTCCTGTAAGCCTCATTGATGGATGTCATAGAGTCACAGCATGTCACCCAGTACATATGTTTTTAAAGGCTCAGAGGAATATATTTCATTTAATGCTTCACTCTCTTCATGTTCATTAATTACTACCTTCATGTATCTTTGTATATTTAAAAAAGAAATTAAAGGTAATGCCGCAAAGAGGATTACAAGGTTGTCAGGGGGGAGTGTGTGGCTGGAGAACAGGTCATACATTTCTTCCCACCAGAGTAAGTTACTGGTCAGACATTGTAGATCATTCTTTCTTCTTGTTCATATCTCTAGCAGGTATCCGGGATCACGACTCCCAGTACTTTCTGATTACATTGAGGAGGGCGGTGTTGCTTATATATACTGTTATTTATTGTCAGCATTAAAAGCTTTTAAACCAGGGCTAAGGCAATGGGTCAGCGTCATTTACTAGTCCTCTACAGTTTATCATGTACATATGCTCCTCTTAACAGTATGTATATTTTCTGGAACAGTTTTAGCATTCACGTACAACAGTGGTCTCCAACCTTTTTTATTTGTGCCCCCCCCCCCCCCCCTCTTCCTTTTGAGAATATGGAAGATCCCCATGCCCCCCTCTTGAGTATATGGCAAGACCCCCTGCCCCCTCTTGAGTATATGGCAAGACCCCCATGTCCCCTCTTGAGTATATGGTAAGACCCCCATGTCCCCTCTTGAGTGTATGGGAAGACCCCCATGTCCCCTCTTGAGTGTATGAGAAGACCCCCATGTCCCCTCTTGAGTATTTTACATGACCCCATGTCCCCTCTTGAGTATATTACATGACCCCATATCCCCTAGAGCATAGGTCATGACCTAGAATGTGTGAATAGGTCTTCTTGGGTTTACCTCATGAAAACAAACAGCTAACTGCTCAGCTGTTGCTGATGTAAATTTACCATCTGAATCAATTTCTGACAAATGTAAACTTCTATTATAACTATTAGAATTAGAGAACATGTGACTGATACAGTTTTAGAACTTCACCATCAGAAAGGCACATTTTTGGGCCTGTCCTTGTGTTTGGGACATTGGTATTCATGGCCAGCCGAACACAAATCAGAAAATGCACTGTCTGAAGATGACGCTAGCAATGAGTTGAATCAATTTGTGCCCACATATGCAAGCAATAAGTTTTTTTCAAAGAAAAACATTAGAGTAACCTTCCTGAATACTTTAATGGTAGTTCCTAACATTAGAAACGAAATGCGGAGCCGTAAGCAAATAAAGATACACGAGACACCTGATAGACTCAGAGGCCTGACTCTGCCCCAGTGGCAGTATCTTATCCGGGACTGCCATTTTCCAAAGTGAGAGATATTTTAAAGTTTGTTGATCATGATTTTCCTTAGCAGTTCTATCAACGTTTCCTTTGCAGACACTGTCTGCATTTACCAGAAGAGGTGGTATCTCAGATAAGCCAGAAGTGTACCATTCTGCCTTTTGCAGTAAGTTTTTTGCAAATATTTGAGCGCTTCCTGTTAAATTGATATTTCATCCACTCTACCATCATCACCTTCAGCTTTTCATTGACTGTTGCATGTTTATCGACATATGTTTTTTTTTCTCTTTGGCTGTAATATTTCACAAGCAGTACATAATCTTTTGTTCAGGTTTAATCTTTCATTTGGCAATCTGTACTTAGGGTTGCAAATAAGGTTTGTAATTCTACAATACCTGGTTTGATTCCAGCTTGCGGGTAGTCTAGCAGCAGACCACTTTGTGTTGATTTTGACAGTGGTGTCAAGAGTCGATGATTCAGAAGCAATGGCAAACGACTCAGTGTATAACGTTTGCCTAGTCGTCAAAATCATCATTATCCGTTTGAGCTTCTACTGTTAAGCCTTGTGTTGAGGAGCAGTTTGCGATCCTTAGCTTGTGGATATCATCGTATTATGTTGATGCTCTTTAATGTGATCAGTCCATCTTCTTCTAGGGTGACCTCTTGCTTTCACTTCGGATCTCTTCATGTGTGGCGTCTGCGTTAGTAGTTATTATGGCTGCATTCCTACTAAATGACCAAACCATTTGACCTTCTGTTTCTCAATGAATGTGCTGCATGGTGTTGTTAATTTGCCTAGTAAAACTACAATGAGCCAAAAAATGCTAGGGTTGTCTGCAACATCCTCTAAACCTCAACCCTTTTACACCTACGACCCACCAAAACAGTAGAAATGGTTTCTTGGCCCACCTGACAGCTTATCAAGCATGAAACAAGAATAGATGTAGATTGCTGTTTATTTGTTAAATCCGTTTTTTAAACTATTTTTTTTTTTTAATTACAATTTTCAGTTTAGTTAATATCAGCTGCTATTTAATGGTTAAAAGTAAAAATTAAATAATTTTGGATGGAGCGTTGTTTCTGATCCATGAAGCTCTACAATAAGATCCGATTCTCCCTGTATGGGTTGGGGGACCCATTTTGGAGCATGTCTTAGGAGCCGACTGATTGGGGGACTTTCTTCAAAGTCGGAGTGCATCTGCCCGAGCGGCAAGGAACAACAAACTGCACACAGATAAGCCAGTAAAACAGATGTACACGCAACACTCGGCCCCTGGCACAAAGCCGAAGTCCAGATGGGTGAACAACCAGGACTTTCCACAGAAGCTTACAGTCGGTCAACAAAGAAAAAATGAAGATCCATTCAATTTCTTTGTTTGGGTGTAGTCTTTTTGCACAAATTGAAAATCCTTGAGATGTTATTCCTTCAGACTGGAGGGTAAAAACCATATACCCTACCTCGTTACATGGCCATTGAGTTAACCGTATGTGTCGATTCCTCCCCACCAAATATATGGTTGACACATTCCGTTTCTGGGGACAGCTTTTATCGAGTTTGCTCTCTAGACAGTTGCAGTCCCCTGCTGTCGAGATTCTGTCTTCCCGAGTGGACCGCCGCGATCAAAACATTGCGAAGGCAGCGTGGTCGAGGCTGCCAAAACTATCGGTCATTATCCCGCCCCGACACAGCACAACCACAATACACGCTGTTCCCACGAAAAACACATAATATCCTGCGTTGGAAATGCGCATAAAATAGCAGTCCATGATTATGAAACAGAACAATCCGAGAGAATTGACAGCCAGCGAAAATAAACACAGCTGCTGTCCGCCATTTTTAAAACGGAAGTCGGTCACCTCGTTACATGATGAAGGAGATTTTTTTTGGGGGGGGGGGGGCAGCTCCAGAGACTCTGCCACAGCCCCTGTGTTGATGAAGACTGCTTCTGAATGATATACAGCTAACTTCATCTATAAACTTTGCTGTCACAGTATTCTGTCGTAAATGTTATCCTTTTTTTTTTTTTCATCATTAGTTCCATCGTCACCATTATTATCACCATAATTCTCTGTCACTATGATCATCGTCATCATACATGTCTTGTTTGCTTCTCCTGTGCTTAATTTGTCATCGTTACTTCCATCATCATCATCATGATCATGATCATTTTCTGTCACTGTCATCATCCTCATTACCATCACCATCATTGTCTCCCACTCTCATCTTTGTTTCTTCTCAGTTGCATATTTCATCGTGATAATTACCATCCAGTGAATGAGCAGCTCTAAATAAAAGATACAGTCATGAATGTGTTTATCCTGTGTCTAGGTGGTTGTGGCCATTCCGGTCTCCGTGGGAGTGGCTATCATCCTAATTCTGCTGCTCATTTACTGCTGGTCCAGAAACAAAAAGTGAGTTGCAATTGGTGAAAATAAGTAGTTACATATGTGTAACAAATTGTCACAAGTATTGACAGTCTTGATGCATATAGTTGTAGCTGAGTCGCCATACTCCAATAACACCCACTGGCTGGTGGGGGCTGCATGGTCTTGAGGCATGGTGTCCGTCTCGAGTGCTAGAGGTACTGGGTTGAATCCTCGGTAAGGGCTGGGATTTTTTTCACGTGGACTTGGACTTCTAGTATTTTCTTCTGATCTCTGAATAGTGAGATCGGACGCCCGTGTGCATTGTTGCGCACGTAAAACATCCCTTGGCAGTTGGAAGTCGAAAAAAGTTGCCTGATAGCGCTGCCTTGAGTTAAAAATCTACCTAAAGTATTTCAGGGTCCTCGCTGGTACTACAGAGCCTGTGCACTGTGCTGAGCTTCTTCGGACTCAGACTGAAGAACGAAGCACTTATGGGTTACTACCTGTGTGCCATGATGTTGATCCGTTGTTCAAAACTTCAAACCCCCAGTGGCTTAATTAAATTCAAAGTGGGCCTGTGCTTATGCAATATTGCATGGGCAAATACCAGCTGTCATGATTGACTACTTGCATTAACAGTAAGCTGTAATTCTGGTGGGATACTGTTAGTGTTGCCACATCTGACGACTGCCTTATGCATTTCTTTTGTGTGGGAGAGCTTTAAGATTTCGCAGGGACTGATATGTTTGTCATTAACTTTGCAGATGGGACAATGAAGGATATTTGTGTATGATTTCCACTAGCACAGGAATGGAGGAGTTATGTTGTGACCCATATGCATCGGAGTTGGAACTTCGACTCTGAAGTCGTTAGTCGAAGTTCCAACTCCAATGCACATGGGTCAGAATCAGGCATGTAATGCAGACTCCTATTTTTATAGACCAATCAGCACTTGGTAGGTGATAAAGCCAGCATAATGACGATCACCTTTACTTCTCCGGACATTACCTGATACCCATTTAGGGTTGGATCTAACTGGGAGCCATGGTCAGTTTTGGAAAAATCTGACTTAATGCAGATTCAAACCCATAACATTCAAACTGGCTAGCGAGTGTCTAGCTGCTATGCCACCACTACTGCCGGTGAGGACAATGTTTTGGGAATTAAGAGTTTTCTCAACTTTCTTTCCTGTATTCCTTTTTTGTTTAAAAAAAAAATTATTTGGGGGTGGGGGGAAGGGGGGGGGGGGGGGGGTGGAAGGATGGTATATTTGTTTAGTTTTCATAGTGTATCCGTCCACTCCATTTACAATTCTTGTCACAGAGCAAGTTTTTATTCTACGCATTTGAACAGGACACAGTCGACTTTGCAGCCACATGTACACAAAATTTAAAATTAGCGAATCGGCCATGTGCACATGTGGACTGGCACATGAGTCAACAGATCATGTCCTCCAAGACGGTCCCAAATACAACATATCAAGGCAAAACTTTTGGCCAAGAGAAACATCAGTGCAAGTCAAACTTTACGGGTCGCTGAGTGAATTACAAAAGACAGTGAAGTTCCTACTAGAGACAACATTGCAGATATAGATAATCTATTTCAAGCGAACGAAAGAAGAAGAAGAACAATTCTTGTGTATGTAGCTTTTCTTTTTATTTCCTGTATCTTTGTTTGCTAGCTGCTCCAAACCATCCTTGAGAAGAAAGTGGGTTGGGGGAGAGGTTTCACATATTGACAATCACTGCTTGAAATGATCAGAAAGGATTCGTATGATTTGGTCTGAAATCAGACCACTCTTTGTTTAGCTTGGTTATACATTCTCAGTAAGGGTGGGGGTTGCTTTTACACTTCAGATACAGACAGATGAAAGTAAACTTGTAATCACCATCATCCTGTAGCAGCAAGGGCACTGCTACAAAGAAATCCAGTATATTCTCTTCTTTTTTATCTTCATCTTCTTCTTCTCTTCCACCTTGTACCTCAGTGAAGTGTTGTGGGAAGGTGTGACATTTGGAGATGAGCTAAGCCAAGAGCACTATTTAAGATTGATGTCCATTTTTGTAAGGCTGTTCTTAATGCCATCATTCCATATTTTCCGAGATCTTGCGCTCGCTCTATACCCGTTGTAACATTTCAGTGTGGCTCTTTTTTTTTATAATAGTACCAGGGCATTCTTGTTAGGTGTCCAAACCACTTCATTTGTTGTTATTCTCTGGCTGTACCAAAATTGTGTGGCCACCTCAAGGAGAGTAGATGGCCCTGCAGCAGTTGTAAATCCAGAACTTATCCTAACTTTATCCTCTTTTGCAAGACTCTGATGCTTTCTTTCAGCCAGCAACATGTTCCATAATCTCTCATATGCTGCCTGCACTCTAACAGTTGGTATCAAGAACCAGTTTGATAATCCACAATCAGTCATTTCCACTGAGAAAAGCTTAACTTGAAGTGAGCTGAATTTGGGGAGATGTTTAACTCCATGTGAAAGCACAACTAGTGCTCAGGCATGCCAAATGTATGGTGGCGACACGATAAAAGGAGAAAAGGAGTCAGACTGTGTAAATCAGGAGTCAAGAAAACAGTGTTTGGAATCATTGTTGGGGAAGAGGCTTCAAAGCATCAGTTTGAATTGTGCATCAATTTTCTGTGTTTTTCAGACTAGAGTACAAGTATATGAAACTGGTAGAGACATCTGGTGGCCAGGAGGGTGAGATGCCTGCCGCTGATACTTGTGGGATGGAGGATGATGAAGATGATGTTCACTTCTCAGAACCTGGACCCAGTGCCAGCTTTCTGGGCAAGATCAGAGAAAAACTGTCCAGTAAAAGAATGAAGGTAAGCTTTTTTTTTTTTTTTTAAGTCGGTTTTGTTGCTTGTCTTTTTTTTTCTTTTCTGTTGTGTTTTTTTTTTTTTTATTGTTTTTTTGGTTTAAAAAAAAATCGTTCATGTCATTGTATAATCGTAAGTTTCCATTTATGTACACCTTTTTTGGTCTTTAACAAAATCGTGAAATTACAGTCTGCTAGTGGCTTGGTGCCATCTTTGTAGACTAGATTCACATTCATCCCAAGCATCATAATGAGTTTCTGCAGATAATTTGCAAGATTTGGATATTGCTTATCTGTCTTCAAGATGCATTTCTGTGACTACCTTGCATTCTTCCAGTGCAGTTTATATTTTTAAAAGACTTGTCACAGTGATAGTGATTGATTTTTCCTTTGTTTGCTAGACTGTTTCATTTCTCACAGTGTATACCACTCTTTTATTTTCAGTAAATAGCACTGTTAATTTTGTTTCACTATCTTTTGTCTAGTCAATGTTTTGTTCTCAGTTGTTATTTGAAAAACTAGCTTATGGTTATTTGCTGGGGTAATAATATTTACAAATTTCAACTCCCTAGGATCAGCTACATTGACCAAGTTTTATTCTCGGTATACACCCTTAAACTGTTCCAGATCCTTGGACGTATACCAGACCCTAAACCAAATTTGTTTCACTAGAAATAAAGGGAGAATGATCAATCTGTTCCCACGAAAAAAAAATCATATTTTTGGGTCAAATTATACATTGATAGACAAGTAAAAGTGAAAGTTCCTTTTCCGCACCTTTAGGTGTATTGGGAATATAGGGCTAGACCTGTATTTTTATGGACCAATCGGCACTTGGTGGGTGATGTGGTTAGCATTACACCGGCCGCCCTTATTTCCCAGGACTGCACCTGGTACCCACTCAAGGCTGGGTTGACCTGGGAATCAAGGTTAAAAAAAAAAAAAAAAAAGGTCAGGCTCCATCAAGACGCTACCCACGACCTTCCGATCCGCAGGCCGGAGTCTAGGCGCCAATGCCAAGGCAGCTCCCATACATTGAAGGAGTTGTATAATATAATTTAAACACTGCTTCAGCTCTTTCAGACCCATACATTGATAGAGTTGTATAATATAATTTAAACACTGCTTCAGCTCTTTCAGACCCATACATTGATAGAGTTGTATAATATAATTTAAACACTGCTTCAGCTCTTTCAGACCCATACATTGATGGAGTTGTATAATATAATTAAACCACTGCTTCAGCTCTTTCAGACCAATACATTGATAGAGTTGTATAATATAATTTAAACACTGCTTCAGCTCTTTCAGACCCATACATTGATAGAGTTGAATAATATAATTTAAACACTGCTTCAGCTCTTTCAGACCCATACATTGATGGAGTTGTATAAAATAATTTAAACACTGCTTCAGCTCTTTCAGACCCATACATTGATGGAGTTGTATAATATAATTTAAACACTGCTTCAGCTCTTTCAGACCCATACATTGATGGAGTTGTATAATATAATTTAAACACTGCTTCAGCTCTTTCAGACCCATACATTGATGGAGTTGTATAATATAATTTAAACACTGCTTCAGCTCTTTCAGACCCATACATTGATGGAGTTGTATAATATAATTTAAACACTGCTTCAGCTCTTTCAGACCCATACATTGATGGAGTTGTATAATATAATTTAAACACTGCTTCAGCTCTTTCAGACCCATACATTGATGGAGTTTGTATAATATAATTTAAACACTGCTTCAGCTCTTTCAGACCCATACATTGATGGAGTTGTATAATATAATTTAAACACTGCTTCAGCTCTTTCAGACCCATACATTGATGGAGTTGTATAATATAATTTAAACACTGCTTCAGCTCTTTCAGACCCATACATTGATGGAGTTGTATAATATAATTTAAACACTGCTTCAGCTCTTTCAGACCCATACATTTAGGCAGGCTTGGCTCACATTGATTTCTCTTTACAAAAATGGCTGTGGGGGTGGTGTGAAGAAAAAGGCAACTGCGAGTGTAATGTTTTTCTAAACCCTACAAAAGTATGTATTTGTTTTAAAGAGGAATGAATGTGCATTTGGAATCTGATATGTTTTTGTTTGATGTTGCTATAGTTAGAAGAAAAAAATAGAATTCAGCAAGTGTTGTGTTTACAAAGACAACATTTTACAAAAACAAAAAACAAAAAACAAAAGAGAAACATTCTTCACTTACCATGTTTTTGCAGCCAGAAGAGCAATGAATAGCTAAATTTGAGAATAAAATAAATTCTACAGTTTGTTCAATTTGTTAACTTATTAAAAAGTTATGATAAATTTCTGGGTTATTTTAACACTTAGAGGCTTTAGGTTCTCCTAGAATGTTGACAAGTTTCAAATGAAAAGTTGGAAGAAAAATGGACCATTTCACACAAAATATTGACTTTGTACAATTGTAAACAGACAGTAGCTGCAGTCATTTCAGTGCAGCTTAGCCATTGTATGATACTGTTTGAAACAGTCCTTTAGATACAAATGTGGGTGACTATCACATCCTTTGCAAATGAAATGGATCCTTCTGGGTTTTCCTCATTAGAACTGCTAGATTCTGTAACAGCTGACTGCACAGCTACCACTGGTGTAAATTCAACGTCCAAACCACTTTCTGAAAAATTTAGGTTTGCTCTGACTGAAACATTTACAGAGCTTCAGCCACAGACAGGCACATTTTCAACCTGAGGTGATCGGAACATTGATATGTATAGCCAGTTGAAGGCCAAATCAGAAAATTCACTGTCTGAAAATGACACTAGCAATGAATCGGATTAATTTGCGCCTAAATGTATGAACAAAGACTTGTAAACAAAATAAAATGTTAGAGTAACCTTCCCAGAATATTTTAATGGTAGTTCCGTGCATTAATAATGAATATGAAGCAGTATGCAAATAATTATGTACGGGACACACGATCGACGCAGACTGTGTGGTTTGGTCAGAGCAAAACTTCTCATTCAACACATACAGCGTTGCTCCGGCCTCAAAGTGGTAATATTAAAATACATAAATAGAAAAGAAATGAGATGAAATAAATGGAAATGTAACCTGACTACTGAAAAGAGCTGAATGCCTACTAGGATGGTGCTGTAGATGCTTGTTTGAAAGAAGAGTCAGTCGCCTTCCACTGAAACTTCAGGAACCTGAAATTCTTGTTCTTTTTCTCTTTCTTCTTTTTTTCCCCCCTACTTTGACCTAGTGAAGGCTCATCAGGTTTGACTTTTACTAAAAATCTGACCAAAGAACTTTGCCTCTGTCTTCTCTTCAGGATGTTTCAAAAATGTGACATTGTCTGGTCACTCTACACAATGCTATTACAGCTTGTTTGGGCTTTGGTGGGGGTGGGGTGGGAGGGGTGGCACTTTTCTGCAGAGTTTTTAACATTCATCTATCTGGCAGACGTGTCCTTGATTAATGAGAAGGGTAAGCATGGATAGCGTGCGGTCTGAAACTCTTTTTGGATGAGAGAAGTATTTGCACGCGAGTCGTACTCTAAGCATAGGCCATACACCAAGCAAACTTTTTCGTCTCCTAACTGGATGTATACCAAAGCAGACGTATACCAGGTACCACTGTATAGTCTCCACAGAATGGCTAGATACTGCAAAAATGTCACACAAAGCATGATCTCTGTAGCTCCAGTGATGGATCACTGGGATTTCAATTTTTGTTTGTTTAAATTGCACTTGTGTACTGAAAGATTTAGCACATGAAACAAACTCACAATCTTCCGACCACGAAGCAAACAGCATGATGACACTGATTTTTTTATGTGTGTGTGAAAAAGAGAGAGAGGTGGATAATAATAATTAGTTAGATTAGATGTAACTGTTACTATTTATCAGTTGAATGTAAATGTTATTGTTTTTCAACAGGATGAGGATAACCCATTCATGGCAGTAAAGATGTCTGAGAAGATGTCACTGACGTAAAGCAACAAGATCAAATAAACAATTCCGGGAAGATCACATCCTTTTTTTCCATGAAAACGATATAACATATATCTGCTTCACAGAACATTTTTAAATGAAGATGGGAAATTCTCACTTGAAATTATAGGTTAATTATGATTGCTTTTGTGTAGACGAAAACTGTTGCACATTAGCAAAGGCTAATTTTTTGTTTTATTTTCACAAGCACATAGATTAGATTTAATGAATGATGGCGCTATATTATAAACTGAAAGCAATGTGGTCATGTAGATTTGAATTAGCAGATACAGGCAACATCATATATTTACTCTTTAACAGTGTGGGCTGAGATGTGTTGAAGATATGTCTGGAGAAACCAGACAAATAATATTTAACAAATTAACTACAGGGCTGAAAATTTGCACAGGCATAATTATTTTATTTTCATAATACCCACTCATGTTTTGTGTCTCAACTTCAGTCAGTAGTTTTGTTATTTTGAATCTATTTTTTAAGAAGAAGTGATCTTAAAAATAAATGTATGTTCTCTTAAAATAAAATAGTATATATAGTGTGACCATTTAAAAAATTTTTTTTAATAGTTTCAGTAAAGGATCATTTTTGCGACCCCTAGCATCTCAGGCATATGATGCTAGAATAATTGTTTGGACCACTCGCTAGGGAATGTGGCTTACATCATGCTGCCGCCTTTACTTCCCAGAACACTGCCTAGTACACATTTTATGCTAGGATGACCTAGGAGCTAGGATAGTATCTGGTTGACCACACTTGACAAGTTGCTTTATCCAGAATAAATCTTCGTCTCAGTGTTCACCAGCTGTAAACTCTGGATTTGTCTGCTAGACTTTTGCTGTTCCAGACCTTGAGTTTGACGCTTCTGGCTTGTTTGTTTGCAGACTGTTGGTCCAAGACAGACACAGTCTGGCTTTCAGGGGAAAAGGCTCTAATTAGCCACCTTTGACACATGTTTGTTAACTCTTTGAGTCCCAGGGGGTTTAGCATCAGAGACCCAAGGGGTAGTCAAAAGAGATGTAAAATCGGCGCATCTTGCGTTCATTGGGCCTCTAGGTAGGAAACTATGAGCGTGTGGTGCGTTCCTTGGGACTCAAAGAGTGAGGCTGTTCTTATTTCCCTCAAAACAGGGACCCAGGACTCACACGGGGTTTAAAATACAAGTCTAGAGCATGACACAGTCCGGATGATGTTCAGGTTATAATGAGTTTGAAGCAAAATATATTAGTACAGAGTGTAAGCATGAGTTTGTCAGCTTTTTGTCCTTATACGCAGTGTTTTTAACTTGTTCACTATACTGTGTGTGTCATATACAAATTATCTAATGCATTCTCTGCAGATCTATTATTTTTATATTTTCACATTGTGTTAAAGATCTGAGGCCCAGTTTTTTTTTTTTTGGAGGGGTCTTCTGCCAGTCTTATTTATTGCTTGTAATTGTTTCCTTATTTTTTTTTAACATAATTTTAGTTGTAATTGTTATGCCTTCTGTTTGTGAAGGTACTTTTATATAACGGGTGGAGTATTGTATAATTGTTTTTCAAAAATCTGAATCTCTTGTTCAAATAATGTGTCTGCTTCTAATTGTTTTAACTTATGTATATGGATAAAACAGGGGGTGACTGCGATCAAAAACTGATTCCACCAGTCTTAATCATTGCTTGAAATTGTTTCTTTATGTTCACATACTTTTGGTTGTATTTGTTATGCCCTCTCTTTGTGAAGGTAGTTTTATATAAGGGGTAGTGTATTGTGTACTTTTTTAAAAGAAATATTTATTCTGAATCTCCTATATAAATAATTTGTCTGCTTCAGTTGTGTGTACATATGGAGCAGATGCAGAAATGGGGGGAAAAAAAGGGGGGGGGGGGTGTTTACTGCAATCAATAACTGAAATCATCAAGTAATGAACAGAGCAGACTATAGCTAGAAAGCTCTATGGAGGAAAAGGTGTGTGTTTGGGAAGGGACGACAAGATGGGTAATGGGAGAGAAAAGACATTGTATGTAATTGGGAGGGGAAGACAAGATGTGTATTTGGGAAGGAAAGGACAAAATGTGTATTTGGGAGGGAAAAGACAAGATGTGTATGTGGGAGGGAGAAGACAAGATGTGTTTTTGGAAGGGACAAGACAAGATTATGTATTTGGGAGAGAAAAGATCAGATGTTAATTTAGGAGAGATAAGACAAGATGAGTATGTGGGAGGGACAAGACAAGATGTCTATTTGGGAGAGAAAAGATATGATGTGTATTTGGGAGGGGAAAGACTAGATGTGTGTTTGGGAAGAAAAAGAAAAGACATACTTAAGACATTTTCTGTTCCTTTTCTAGAGGAGTAGGTCACAATACCAGGATATCCTGTGGGAAGTCAAAGTTCATTTTTAAGGGATGGTTTTTTTTTTTTTCCAATTAAAAAAAAAACCAATCTGTCAGAGGCAGTTAAAAACCCTAACCTGTGTAATTTATGACAACTGCACTAACCATGTGGCCTTAAGTCCTCAGTCTCGTTTACCCCTTCCCCTTTTCCTCTTTTCCCCTTTTCCTCTATTTCCCACAGTCCTATATTGCTAAAATTGGTAAATACAGGCTTTAAACACAGTTGTTGTTTTATTACAATTTGTCTGTTGCCTCTGTTGAGCCTTCTAGTCATAGTCTATGTTGTGTTTTGTTTTTCCTATAGAATGAAGCCTGTTGTATAGGATCCCCTGACTTGGTTATTTCTCCTATAGAATGAAGCCTGTTGTATAGGATCCCCTGACTTGGTTATTTCTCCTATAGAATGAAGCCTGTTGTATAGGATCCCCTGACTTGGTTATTTCTCCTATAGAATGAAGCCTGTTGTATAGGATCCCCCTGACTTGGTTATTTCTCCTATAGAATGAAGCCTGTTGTATAGGATCCCCTGACTTGGTTATTTCTCCTATAGAATGAAGCCTGTTGTATAGGATCCCCTGACTTGGTTATTTCTCCTATAGAATGAAGCCTGTTGTATAGGATCCCCTGACTTGGTTATTTCTCCTATAGAATGAAGCCTGTTGTATAGGATCCCCTGACTTGGTTATTTCTCCTATAGAATGAAGCCTGTTGTATAGGACCCCCTGGTATGTTGTTCAGTTTAGTGTCTCTCAAGCTGTGAAGCAGACAGCTGTGTGGTTTGGATGGTGTACCAGACTTTCTCTGCCCTTGTTTCTTCGTGGATTATTTATGGGTTTTTAACTCTTTCTGTCCTAAGCAACATATAATATAACTTTGATTTGTCCTCTGAACCTAAACCGGAGCTATCCACGTGACCTGCCATGAAGGCCTCGCAAGGGGCCCAAGGATCATTGCCAGTTGTATTTTATTATTGATCTTGCTGCACTGGCTCATGATGTCCCCCCATTTTGAAAATGTTGGCCCCCTGAGTAAACTCAGCTGAATGGCCCTGTCTTTTCTTGTATTTTCCACATTGGCACCTGGAACCCACACAGGGAGAGTAACTAAATAACACTTTCTTTCATGATCATCATATAGTAGTCCTGTTCTTATCACAGCTCGCCTGAAAGAAACTCTGTCCCTCACTGGCTGTCCTGTCTGATGCACTTTCCTGCCAAAAGTGTCTCTTAAACCCCAAGCCAGCCTTTGTGTTGGTCAGTCTCTGCCTTTCACTACCTTGCTCTCCATTACTGTTCTCTCCGAGGTGTTGTGATGTTTGTTACAGCTGAAGTGTTTCACCTTCTGAGACCAGAAGTATGAATAAAGCATGAAAGCTTGAAAACGTGATGTTAATTGTACCTTTACATCTAAAGATCATAGGAAAATTTAAGAAGACTAATTTGACATGTTTATTATTATTATTATTATTATGTCTGTTATAAATTGGTTCTTCTGAAGATTTCATACCTGTTGTGATTTCAGAATTAATATTTTATTGTGATTTTTCAGTATTTTGTTTGGAGAGTTGTGCATGCACACAGGGCAAGTTTATGTGCAGGGTGAAAAGATAAACCATGAAGATTTTTTTAATTATTGCTATGTTTATAATTTGATATTTTCTTGTGGATAATTCTGAAGAACCACACTCATGTGGCTCTGTTGGGAAAAACTATTACATAGGTAGAAGAAAGTCAGTTATTTTTGTCTTGTGGGCGTATTGTGTTTGTTTTATTTTTATCTTGTGGATAATTCATATTTGGTTATTCTGAGATTACTTCTAATTTTGTTACCTAAAAAATAAATAGTTTTTGTTTATTCTGAGAGTACCTCAAATTTTGTTACCTAAATAATAAATAGTTTTTGTTTATTCTGAGATTACCTCTAATTTTGTTACCTAAATAATAAATAGTTTTGTTTATTCTGAGATTACCTCAAATTTTGTTACCTAAATAATAAATAGTTTTTGTTTATTCTGAGATTACCTCTAATTTTGTTACCTAAATAATAAATAGTTTTGTTTATTTTGAGGTTACCTCTAATTTTGTTACCTAAATAATAAAAAGTTTTTGTTTATTTTGAGATTATCTGTTACTATGTTACCTAACTTCCTTCTTACAGTATATAAAGAACAGATGGGGAATCCACACACTGAAAGATTTATTCAACAGGGAGTGAGTAGAGGTTATGGAAGATATTCACCGTTGGAGGGAAAACAGGTGGTTTTTTTTAATCAGGTTGCTACTGGAACTGTTAGCGTGTAAATTCTTCATTGGCTACTGAAGAAGGGGACGGAACATGTGTGGAAATGTGCCTAGTGCAGGGCTGTCAATTCTGGATTCATAATTCATTCATACCCAGTTATTCATTCATAAGGAACAAAATATAATGTCTTCTGATCCTCGTTTTGTTGGCATTTTGGGCTGACAAGTTCTTATATAATGTCTTCGGATCCTCGTTTTGTTGGCGTTTTGGGCTGACAAGTTCTTATATAATGTCTTCTGATCCTCGTTTTGTTGGCGTTTTGGGCTGACAAGTTCTTATATAATGTCTTCTGATCCTCGTTTTGTTGACG